ACCTAGAAAGGAGCCTAAACTAGACAGCTGTTTCTGAAATGGTACTATTAGGTTGTTGCATAAGTTTTTTCCCCGTGTTTGATCCTTCCGTATTTCGTTTGCATGGATGTTGGTATATCGTCATCACGTGTGCGTGACGTGGGCACTATACTCTTTTATCACACTAGCTATCACTCACCCACCTTGCATTTGCAGGCCACAATGTCGCACAATTTCCACTGTGACAAATGTACCTGCGCCACTGCCTGGTTTTGCTTCCACGATTTCGGCTGGAATGCAAAGGAAGCCCATACCAAGCTGGTGGATACATACGGTGAGGACGTCATCTCTTACATGACATGCAAGAATTGGTTCGCCAAATTCAAGAAAGGAGACTTTTCTCTCGAAGATGCTCCGAGGTCGGCCGATGGAGTTGGACTTGGAAGTACTACGTTCCACCGTGGAGGAGAGCTTTCTACGCTCGGCTATGATTATTCTACGGTAATCGGATAATCATAGCCGAGCGTAGAAAGCCTCGAAGGTAGCAAAGCTTGACCGATGGGTCTCACATGAACTGTCCGCTTATGACCTCTCGAGGGTGCACTTCACGCTCCAAAAGAAGTTTCACTTTCTCAACTCGATGATCACTGGAGATGAGAAGTGGGTCCTCTACGATAACCCTGTGAGGAAGCGGCAGTGGGTCGACAAAGGAGAACAGCCAGAAGCCACCCCAAAGGCCGACCTTCACCCCAAAAAGGTTCTCCTGTCCTGTTGGTGGTCCAGAAGAGGCATGGAGTACTGGGAGCTGCTGGAGAAGGGACAGACGATTGACGCTTCCACATATTACCCAGCTGCGGAAATTGAAAGATCACGTCGACCGTACTCGTGGATCGAATGCGGAAATCTACTTCCACCATGACAACGCCCGACCTCACACCGCAAAGGCGACCCAGGCCGAGCTGGAGAAGTACGGATGGCTGATGGTCGCCCACCCTCCCTACAGCCCTGACCTCGCTCCTTCTGACTACTGGCTGTTCAGCCACCTGCAGCGCTCTCTGGACGGAAAAAAGTTCGAAACAAAGGATCAGGTCAGAAAGGCACTCGACGACTTCTTCAAGTCCCAGCCCCCGTCGTTCTGGAAGGAAGGAATCGACAAGCTGCCTGAGCGCTGGCGTCGAGTAGTGGATGGTGATGATGCATACCTCTAATCTTCAGGTTGGTTCGCTATTGGAATGGAAAAAGTTGGGGGAAAAACTTATGCAACAACCTGATAGTTTCAGTGGGTGTTACTGAACTACGGGGATCAAGGTACACGTCAAAGTCACAATCGAACTGCGGTCGAGGCCATTGAGACCTTACGAGTTCGCTTTCTGCCCTTTTGTCCTTTTGGGGCTCATACAAATAGAGTGGTCCTCCTGAGAGCAACATCCTCTGCGGCAAACCTTATCTCGTCTTTCAATGTCGATCAATTAGTACATGTGTAGGACATCTTGAATGACTTCCTCATGGCTACGAGGGCACGCCATCTTTGTGATCATCACAACAGGGGGTCGTATTTGCCCGCGATGGAGGGGGGTCGTAAGCAACGCATGCCCATGTTTGAAGTGGAGAGAGCGTGAATACACGGTACAAGTAAAAAGAAGCTTAAAAGGGAAGATGTAGATGACAATAAATATAACTAGGCTCTATCCGAACTATATCAGCAAAAAAAAAAAAAAATTGCGAAACTTTTCCTCTCTCATGCAAGAAACTTCAAGACACTTCGCCCACCAACCCTCCTCATCTGGTCTAGGTAAATCCCAATCCACTAATCCGCAAAATCTAGAAAAGAATCATTGCAAAAGCTACCTATGAAACCGTAGAAATTGAATCCTGAGCAATTTCCTCACAACAAAATCAAATTCAACAAAACAAAATTAAACTCAACAAAAACAAACAATCAAAGTAATTCACAATAAAATGGATAAGAAAAAACTCACCGCTCAGCTGGGAACCGGAACTATGGATTACTTTTGAATTTTGGCTGTTCGCGGTCAGCGCGCTCATACAAGCGCATTGGTGCGCGCTATCTTTACGGTTGGAGCCACTTCAAGGCCAAAACACGTGAAAAGTACCCTCATATTGAACACCCGCTAACTTTCGTTGAAAATTTGTGAAAGTGAAACTATCGGAGAGGGTAAGTGGGAATGAGTAGAGCTAGGTTGGCTCTTATCACCTGAATTGAGCGATTTCAAAAACGTTCCGATTCCAGAGATTTTCCCCGTTGTGATCATCTTTGTGATCCATCTGTGATCATTTTTGCGAACCGCGAGTCGCTACGCTTTGGACGTCCATGGCAAGCTTCATACACGACCTTTCGTAAAAAAAAAGAACTGTGCCGGAAGCTTGAAGATTTCTACTTTCCAGCAAGGTTTTAATTTCCTTCCTAGACCTACTATTCGAAAAAATTCCCCGTTGTGATCATTTTGTAATCACCCCCCACGACACCGAAAAATCAACCCCTCCGAGGCCAGGAAACCTCCAGTTGGCTGAAGGCTTTGTATGCTTCTTGAAACCATGTTTTCGTCTCCAAGCATATAGTAAGAGGCATTGGCCGCTCATGGGCTCGGCCTATCATCGACACACTTCCTCGTAGGTATTGTCAGGTAAGCTCCAGCCAGCGTCCAGAGGTGGCTGGACGTGGCTTGGGGACGTACATAGTACTTCGCCGTGCCCCCTCCCCCCGCTCGACAGCAAAATTTTGTAAAAAAACAGAAAAACTTTTTGGGAAAAAATAGACAAAGTGGTAGGAGGTTGGAAAAATCTAGGGAAGAGGTAACGTGGGGGGGGTCGTACTTGAAGATGGAATTAGGGGGGGTCGTATTTTTTCAGAAGCATGATCACAAAGCAATTGGCCTGCCCTGACTGGCTAACACTTCCAGCGTGTCAAGGTCAGGCAAAAAAGTATGCCATGAAAGTCTACAACTTCGAACATGAGCCCAGTAAGGTAGCGTTCAGATTTCACGATGATGCAACCGCACTCCAATGCTATAGATGTGAGCGCAATAGCAGAACGCCGGCCGCTAGTGTATTCACAGATAAGGGAGAAACAGGAGGGAACAGGAAACAACACGCGTTGCTCAAGACCGCGGCAGAATGGTATTGGCTAGTATTTGACGAGAGTACCCAGATTGGGTCAAGGCAGCCTGCCCTCATCGCGATCCCACACTATCTCAAGAGCAAGAAGCGGCACGCCGATTGTCGTTCTGGGGTTTGCTTCGCAGCCGCGTTTAGCACGACTCAGAGCGCGGCTACAATCACAGCGTGTAAGAGCGGCGCGTCGGCGGCATGATTGCGAAGTCTAAACGCTGCCTGATATTCTAGAATGGATCCCTAATTTGAGGCTACAGGCTTTGTTTCATTCACACGACCAAGGAGAAACTAAGTCGCTAGAATGAAACAAAGCTCGCTGCTTCAAACGACTAGGGAGTAAGTAACGCTATCCAGGATGATGCTTTAAAAGCAACTTCTCACGAAACACGCTTGAACGATCGCAGGAAATGGCACAAGCAATCTGATGTATGAGTAAAAGTTTAACAGGCAGGAGTCTAGATCTGGAGAAGTAACATGACGTTCATTACAAAAACGATCAGGTCACAATGGATGTAGCATTCCGTGTAGTATCACCCTTGGGCACTATAACGTCCTGGATGACTGGCACCGAAATGACTTCAATTTTGGTCTCTTCATGATACGGTAAACGCCACAATGACATACCGCTGATTATAAGACCGAATGGAGCACAAAAATGAAACACTCAAGCAGCAGACAAGATGAAAGCACGATTAGTTAGCTTCGGGCGTAGAATTCGACTCGTCAACTTCCGACTTTTCAACAGTGAAATAAATCAAAGCAGACAGCCTGAGAGGATGAATCCTAGTAATGCACGAAAAGAGGACACAATGCAGGATAGCCAAGTGCAGACAGCGCCGACTGAACCACCAAACACTTAAAAAAGGGCGAAGTTAAACGCCTAGAACACCAGCTGAAAGTGCTTCACAGGCAATAATACCTCAACTTGAACCAGTCGTAATGGGCGCTATACGGACAACTGTTTGAAGTGGCGCTATTTCTGATCTTATTCTGAGACACGTCAAAGTGACAACCGAGGTTGAACCGAGTCCACTCAAATTTTTTGAGTTCAGATTCTCCGGAAAGGACCTAAGCAAGGATTATCAACTACACGGAACGGGCTGAATCAGCTGAAACCAAACAATGCCTAGAATCTTAATTGCAAGGATGAGAACAGCCTTGAGAAAATGTCCTTTTCGCGAAGGCGTCACTACACTATCCCTTGCACACGTTAGGCCTCATTGGAGGGCCCGCCTCAGAGAGCTACGCCTCTTTTTGCAGCTAACATAATTTACACTTCTGCAACACATCATGCTCTATAAATTCTAATTGCACTAGTTTTTTACAACATCGCTCTATCTCACACATACATGCATACACTGTTCAATGGATCTTCGTGTAGTATAACGACACACCTGGCTCCGCCCCCGACGACTCCACCCACTTATTAAGAGGGTTCGTTGGAGATTTTGCCGCTAACTAACGATAACTTCATCCTATGACATCCTTTTTCAGTGACTTTTTCACAGCCATAATGTAAGCATAGAATGCAATTCTCAAACTATCCAAATACACTGAGCCCCATCTGCACGGCCACGCCCCTTTTTAGACACTCTGTTCTAAAGTCCCCACCTTCGTCAGAAAAAATGGCGAACGAATAAAAGAAATCGCAATTTCGTCCAGCAACAAAGTTGCTGAAACTGTTTGTTCCAAGCCATTTGCTCACCCTCTGGCACCTACAAGTCCTGGATGAGTACACTCTTGAGTTGGCTATGATTTTGGCCTCTTTGCGTAACGGTCTGTGTCATACTCACATACCGCAGTGAGTTGAAGCCGAGGGTTCCTTCGTGGATAAACCTCGTTACCGAACAGGGAAACAGTGCTGGCTAATTTTATCCAAAAATCAATAATTACCTGATTCCTACTACTTTTGCGCGAAGTTCGAATGCCGTCATTAGCAGACCTTCAATTTCATCGACATGCGCTCCTTTGTGAGCCATGAGCGAGTCGCTTTCACCGCGACATTCATTCAGTGAGATAGCCAGCAGTATACTGAACGAACACTCTCCAAATATGTCACTGAAAATAAAGGATAAAGAAGTCGTTACTTAAGAACTCACCGAGCGTGTGGTGCGTAGCTGATGGCATCCATGAGTTGCTTCTCATTCTCAATCACGATAGTTCCGACTTCACATTCACCAGCAATTCGCATTGCTTTGCGGGTCCACAGTGGACAGTCCATGACGATTCGATCAGCCGAAACAAGTTCAAGAGCCTATAAATAATACTTATTATGCATGAATTATCAAACAAAAAAAATATCGTGAACTCACCACGGCTAGCTCTTGCGCATCTGATACAGCAAATCCAAGCCGTGCACAATCGGCGAGCATTCTCGCCAGTACAGGATCAGCATTGCAGCGAAGTGCATAGTAGGCCTGGACACGCGGCAGATGGTATTGCCAATCGTCGACACGAGCTATTACCGACGGCATATCCATGACGAAAAAAGGCGACGCACCCGGCTGAAAATCAGAGTATAAATGAAGCACACTCCCAGTTGCAGCTACCTGCAAACGCGCGCTGTTCGGTTGGCTTGGGAAGGGGGGGGGGGGTGGATATTCCGCACTTTCGCTGGTTCCCTTTGCTAGTTCCTGCTGAATTACCCATTCTACCCTCTTAAGACCTGTAGACTTGTTGAGCGTAGACCCACGATGCTATTGCATAACATTATAGGATTCCAACGGTCTCCAAAAGAGGCATTAGGAGCAATTCATGCGAACCAGGAAGTGCCCTCGCAAAGCCGAACAGCGCCCTGCAAGGTATTTGTGACAACTACCTATGATTCTGTTTCATGAAAATTCAACCTAAGGAACAAGCCATGGTAAAAGCTGAAAGCGAAGTCTAAGCGATTTAGGTTTTGTTCAGCACAGCTGAGGCGGCACAGACAGCTATCTATCGAGGCCCCGCAAATAACGTCATTCGTTTTAGGACCTGAACAATCCATGTGAGGGTACTGATGGGCAAAAGAAAATAAATACTCCACTACTTTGCGCGCATGCCGCGCCTCGGATATCATGATCTACGCCTTGTAATTTTTCCCCCATGGAAATCAGGACGTGTAATAATTTCAGAAAGACGAATTTCTTGTTAAAGATGACGATTAGGAACTTGTAGTTTTCCATTACAAACACAGAAACTACCAGCCTCTCCTGAACGCCATTTTCTCTACTCCCACATTTCAAGGAGTATATCCACACTATTTCACCCTATAGCAATGTTTTTGCCACATGTGTAGCAGAAAGTACAGTCTTCTTCGCGGCAGATGCTATGGCATGTCAGGGCAGGGAGGCTGGGTTAGGCGCAGCGGCAAAGCACTTTCTGCAAATCGTTGTCGTTTTCCCACATCAATAACTGGTGGGAAAGGGCCTTTTGCTGGGCCAAACCCAGTCCCCTGACACGCCTGAGCATCCGCAAAGAAGAAGGGTGTATAGCCACCTTACGCGAAAACCAAACTGCAAGCGGAACAACAGCTGTACCAACCCATTTACTCACCCTGTGGAACCAATATGTCCTGGATGAGGGCATACTTGAGCTGGCTATAATTTTGGCCTCTTTATGCTACGTTATGTGTCATGTTCACACACCGCAATGGTCGAAGCCAAGCACTTCTCAGGTAATAACTCTATTTACCATATGGAAAGCAATACTGGCTAATTAGTTCTGTCATCCGACAATCAATTATTGCACTGCTAGTTGGCTAGACACTTTCATTACTTTGATTTCTGTTAGCGCATTTACTTATTCCTGTACTCTATTGTGGTATATTAGTTCCAGTGTCATTCGCAACTGTTCCTATATGACCTAACAACTAGACAGAACGACCCGTTTTGGAACCACGTCTTACTCCTACTGCTATTGAACATGTTCGTATGAACTCCTGACAACATGGTCACGACCGTCATTCACTACCCCAACTTAGATAATATGGAATTTCGCGCTTCTCTTGCAAGGAGCTAGTCGGATCTCAACCGTGGGCTTAGTCAGAAGGGTACAGATCCAATTTTTCACTTAGTCCCTGTTTGTTCAAACAGTAATATGAGAACAGTAACACACAGAGGGGTGGCTCCATACTCCGACCATGTGCCCGCATGGGAAGCCAAACGCCTCGTCATAGCCAAAGCACTATTTGCCTGCGCCGTCTCACTTCTGAATATTCTCTGCCGCTGCGTACGTTTTTCGCTGTAGGACCTAGGCATCATAGTCACCTAGGTATGCAGGCAAGCATTGCACATCGAGGATAGCGGAGGAGAATGGAAAGAGCACATGGTTACCACTACCGTTTAGCTACGTTCCCGGAACTTTTGCGTGAAGAAAATTTCACGCTACTGCACTTTGAATCCGTTCGCCTTGCGCATGGCAAGGACGGTCCTTGAAGACGACTGTTCTGTTTTCATTTAACACATCGACTTAAAAGCTAGGATACCGGGAGCTAGTCTCAGCCGATAAGTAATAAAGCAATTTGTTGGTTTCGAGGTATAAATGTAGCGGCTATGCTACGGTTCAGTAGACGAGCTTGTTCCAGCTTCACAAGAGTTCACAAGTTTCACCAGGAAGAGATTTGCAAAGCAGTAGTGAAGCAGTGAAAGTGCAAAATGCCCCCCCCCCGTCGTCAAACTGTGCCGAATTGCAATATGTCTTATGTTAGAACCGTAGTCACGTGAAAATTCACTGTGACTGAGATCACGACATTAGACAGCATTCACACTTCGCGATGAAGTACTGTAATACGCTACTGTTACAGCAGCGCTGCAGTGCGTGCCGAACAAACGCGAACGTGGCCGCAAACGGGCATCGATTGCCGCTGGTCGTATGTGCATTGAGAGAGTATGGGGGAACCAGGAGGGTACGCGCTGCTTGATCACGCAATCTGGTATCGATCGGCAGTGGCCGCTAGTGCTTACAGGGAGTACAGGAGAACGGAGAGGTACCAGATTGCGTGGAGGCTGCTATCACCCCCTGTTATCCTATTTTCTCTCAACCACAAGCCGGCCAGTGCCATCGATTGACGTTCGCGGCTACAATCGCGCCCAGAAATCAGAACGCTGTTGCAGCTGTAGCGCGTTACAGCGCGTCGTCGTGCGTCATCGCGAAGTCTGAACCTCTTACTGGCCTCCTCGTCTCAGATTAACGCCCACTTTTCCATAGACGATTCCTCATACTTTCTACCCTCTCACTATCCAGTCCTTAACTCTACGGGAACTTCCACACTGACAACATAAGACATCTTGAAAAAGACATACCTGTTTGTTCGCGACATGTCGGGCGATTTGTGTTGCGTCGCGATTTTCACCAACGATCACCACCGATTGTTCGGCAAATTCACATCGTGACCATTGTTCAGTTTCAATAGGCGAATGGTAGGACGCAGATGGAAGACGGCGTCGCTCGATCATGCGGCACGTGGGTAGCGTTTGATATCCTGAAATCAAGAACTTTTGGGGGAAAAATATGAGGAAACCTCAAGAACACAAATGATTTGTCATAAGGTATTTTCTCTGAGCATGCATGCACGATGGTGAACGGATGTTTACTTGACGGCAAAAAATATTCGCGACAA